AATCTGAACTAATTTGAAGACAACATTATGCAGTACAGCAACTATCCCCCCACCCCGCAAATAAAAAGATCACATCTTTTTTATTCATTCCTCAGTTGATGGACATTTGGGTTGTTTCCAAGATCAATCTAGTACAAATTTTGCTGCTTTTAATATGGGTGCATGTACATTGCTGTGGAGTGATGTTTTTAATTCTTCTGGGAAGATACCCAGAAAGGGAATGGCTGTGTCAAATGGCATCTCTAATCATAGTTTTTTCAGGAATCTTCACATTGATTTCCACAGTGATTATACTAGTCTATATTCCCACCAACAGTGGAGAAGGGTATTTTCCCTCTACAACACTGTAGGATTTGGCATTTGTTATTGATTTCTTTCTTTTTTTTTCTTTTTTTGTACTCTAGACCTTGTGCTTGCCAGGCAGGTGCTGTGCCACTAAGCTATGTTTGTGACCCTATTATTGGTTGATTTCTTGATAATAACCACTCTGGGTTGAGATGGCATTGTTTTAATTTGCATCTCTCAAATGACGGTAATATTGAACACTTTTTAATATATTTGCTGTTTATATTTCATCTGAGAAGTATATATATTCATCTCAGATATCCATTTGAGTTCTTGATATGTTCTAGATACTAATCCTTTGTCTGACAGACAGCTGGCAGACATTTTTTCCCACATTGTGAGTGGTCTTTTCACTCTGTTGGTTTCTCTTGGTGTGCAAAAGCTTTTAATAAGATGAAGGGCCAGGGTGATAGCTCAGTGGAATAAGTGCTTGCCTGGCATGCACAAGGTTGTGAGTTCAATCACTGGTACCACCAAAAACAAACAAGATGAGATCCCAGTTGTTGATTCTTTGTGATAGTTCCTGTGCAATTGGGGCTTTATTCATAAAGTCTTATACAAAATTTTTAATTTTCACAATGTTCAAATTATCCATTTTTCTCTTGTCACCTGTACTTTTAGTATTGTATCTAAAGATCCATTGCCAGACCCCAGGTCATGAAGACCGGGTTGGTTTTGTCTTAAGAATTTTTTAATTTTAAAAACTCAATTTTTTTTTTCTATACATGTTTGCTGTACATGATGGTTACATTCACCTTGGAGAGTTTGGTACATGAACATAACATCTTAATTTTTATTTCCATTGCCTTCCCTCCCTGTTTCCCCCATTTCTCAGTTGCTTTCACCTTTGCAAAAGATCTAGCTCCTGAAGCAATTAAACAGAATAACCACTTAATTGAGCAATTCTACTCCTAGTTCTTTTGTATTTTTTTAGGGAAGGGTCTACAGGGTGTTCAGGATCTCACTACTAGATCAGACTCATAGTGATCCGCCTGTTTACAGCCTCCCAAGAGCTGGGATTACAGGCATGCACCACCATGCCCAGTGTCAATCGCAGTCTCAGCATGCCCCAGGGGCAGGACTGGCATGGTAGGCCTGAGGATCAAAGCTCTGGCCCCTGCACCTGGTTGCAGGTGCTTTAATCTGCTGAGTTATTTGGCCGGCCCTATCCACTCCTAGGTCTGTATTCAAGAAATAAAAACATGTACACATAGGGCCGGGGAGATGGCTCAGTGGAATAAGCACTTCCCTGGCAAGTGCAAGGGCCTGAGTTCAATCCCCGGTTCTGCAAAACAAAACAAAACAAAAAACAACGTGTACACATAGAAAGTTAAAAAAAAAAAGAAAGTTGCACATGTTTTTGCCAAGTGTGCTAGCACATGCCTGTGATCCCAGCACCCAGAAGACTGAAGCAAGAGGATCACTGTGAATTCAAGGCCATCCTGAACCTGAACTACATAGTAAGACCCTGTCTCAAAAAACAAAGTGGCGTGTGTTTTTAACATCATTGTTCCTAATACCCAATAGATGGAAATAACCCAAACCTTCAATGGATGATCGCTAAATAAATGATATAATATTCATCCCTTCCCTTGCCTATTCTATGACTTTTTAAAGTTTATTTCTTACATTTAAGTTTGTGGCCCAGGTCCTTCATTTTATTTATCATGTAAGGTAGAAATTTTCTTTTTAATTGGTACTGTGGATTGCAGATTTAACCACTGGGCTTTCCTTGGACATGCTAGGCAAGTGCTACATTCCCAGCCTAGCTTCATTCTTACTGGGTTTGGGAGATGGTGGAGATAGAACTGCAGCCTTGGCACTGGACTACATACCCATTCCTTTTGAAATTTTTTAAGAACAATCTTGCTGAGTTTCCCAAACTGGGCTCAAACCTGCAGATTCTCCTGCATCAGCCTCCCATAGTGCTGAGATTATAACCAGGCACCACAGCTCTTAGCTTCAATCTCTTGTTTTGGTTGTTCAATTGTCACAGCATTCATTTTTTAAAAAGACTATTTGCAGGGCTGGAGAGATGGCTCAGTGGTCTAAAGCACCTACTTGGAACAAGCTTGGCAAAGCACAGGGACCGCGGTTCGATACCCCAGCACCACATGCTGGCCAGCCGCGCCCCCTGGTGGGCTGAGCTGGCCACACACACACACACACACACACACACACACCCCATAAATAAATGTTAAAAAAAAAAAGACTATTTGCAGGGCCAGGGAGATAGCTCAGTAGAATAAGTGCTTGCCTGGCAAGCACAGGGTCCTGAGTTCAATCCCTGGTACGGGGTGGGGGTGGGGGACTATTTGCATGCTACAAACTAGCCCTATCCCTGGGCGCACTAATCCACTAAGACCAGGTGGAGTGGTAGCACTCGCCTGTAATATCAGCACTGGGGAGCTGAAAACAAGAGGATCACCGAGTCTGAGCTACATAGTAAGACCTGTACCAAATACATTAAAAATTTTTTTTAATTAATTTTTTAAAATAAAAAGACTGCATACTTTTATTTTTTGTTGAAAAGTAGATACTTACTAAGGGTTTTTCTTTTTTTTTTTTTTTTTTTTTTTTTTTTTCTTTTTTTTTCGCGGAACTGGGGATTGAACTCAGGCCCTTGCGCATGCCAGGGAAGCGCTTATTCCACTGAGCCATCTCCCCCGCCCTCTTTCTTTTCATTGATTGGTTGATTGATTGATTTGAAACAGAATTTAACTATATTGCCCAAGCTGGACTTGAACTGATTACCTCCTGAGTAGCTGGGACTATAAAGGTACTCCATTGCACCCAATTTTATTTGGTGACTTATTGAACTAATTTTGTAAACCCTTTATTATATTTTACTACTGAAATCTTTTTCTGTTAGCTTTGTGTTCAGCTGTGGCAGTCGTTGTGATTGACTCTGTGTGTTAGATCTTGTTGCCTTCAAATCTTGACCAGGCAGATTGCAGTTCCAGGTTATCTTTTACTTTGGGCTTATGCAGACCCTGAAAGTCAACCAGAGGTGAGAGCTTAAGGCCTTCTCTGGTCTTTTCTGAGTCTACAAGTGGCTTTCTAGATTCCCTGGGATGTGTCCAAGCTCTTCATAGTGTGTAAACCACCACCCCCATCCCCCATTTTCTCCTTCCTCAGCCTTTTCCTCCCAAGCATTTTGGTTACCCTGCTTGATCTATTAGTCCTTGCCCCGGTCATCAGAGACAATTGCATTTGTCTTTAAATGTTAGGCAAAATAAATGTAAACCAGTCAAGCTCATCCTTCGGAGAGCCACCAGATGTGAAGAAAAAAAAAAAAACAACCAGTAGCACAGTTGGTTGACAATAAGGATTAAAGTCCTTCTGAGAGCTCCCTCCAGTGAGGAGCTTATACTGAGAATGTTGGCTGTTGTCTTCAAAGCCCTTGGGGAGCAGAGATCAGAACTGGAATAGGCTGAAACACTGCAGAGATCTCTTGCTAGTTCACTTGAGTGGTCTTATTTTTTTATGGTTTTCCCCTTCAATTAGTTTATTTAATTCTGATAGAGTTAATTCGGATTTTTTTTTGTGTGTGTAACAAAATTAGGTACTTTGTAAAGAGGCAGGCTTTTTGATATTCCTATTATCATTTTTCACTGACTTTCCCACTTCAAAACTATAGGTTAGGGGCCAACGAGATGCTCTGCTGCAAGCACAGGGATTGCAGTTCAATCCTTAGCACCACATACTGTGCCAGCCATACCCCTAAGGTGGGCTGAGCTGGCCACAGAGTGACAGTGGCATAGGCTTGTAATCCCAGCTCTGGGGAGGCTGAAAAACGGGGATCACGAGTCCAAGCTACATAGTGAGAGCCTGTAACAACCAGATACATGGGGGGGGACTGAAAAGACTTTTTGAAAATACAGGTTATAGCTGGTAATGAGCTACAACCTGCAGTTTGCATAACAATTATGAAGTCAGCAGGTAAAAGACTTCTACTCTGAGGACATATTGATTATGTATGTTTATTGTTTTTTTTTTTATTGTGTGAGTTTGAGTGTTTTGTTTTGTTTTGAAGACAGTATCGCGCTAAGTTGCCATGCTGGCCTCGGATTTGCGGTCCTTTTGTCTTAACCTCACAGGTGGTGGGAATATAGATGCATACCACCATTCCTGGCTTTATTTTTAAAGACAGGGTCTCAGCCAGGCATGGTGACATACACCTGTGGTAATTTCAGCTCTTGGGAGGCTGACACAGGAAGATTGCCATGAGTTTTACAGAGAGGCCAACCTGAATTACATAGTGAGACCTTGTCTCACACACACCCCTCCAAAAAAAAGAAAGACAGGGTCCTGGAAGTCCTAGCCTCAACCATTCGTCCTGCCTCAGCAGAGTAGCAGTGACTATACACATGTGTTATTTATTCATACTTTAACAAAGGAGGCTGAGCAAAGCACAGTAGCATAAGCCTATAGTTCCAGCTATTTAGGTAGCTGAGGCAGGTGAAACTGAAAACTTAAAGTGATAAACTTTCAAATACATTGCCAAAATTATGATGATCTTTTTCATAATTTCAGAAAAATTTCTGAATGAGGTCCCTATTAGAGATATACAGAGTCCTTCAATTCAGGAATATACTGTGTGATTGTTTCTTAGAGTAATGTTAACTAATAGACTCCCTTTGCCTTTTCTTTAGCTCTGGGACATCCGGAAGAAAGCAGCCATCCAGACCTTTCAAAACACATACCAGGTGTTAGCTGTGACCTTTAATGACACAAGTGATCAGATTATCTCTGGTGGAATAGACAATGATATCAAGGTATGTCTGCTGTATGTGGTATAGTTGCCTTTCACCTATTTACGCTCACTGAAACAAGCCATTGCAAACTTCTAAGACTGGTGGCTTAGCACTTAGTACCATCTGAAAAGATAGCACTAACTTGAAGTTTTCCTTCTTTCCTGACTTCCTAAATCACAGGTTACATGGTAGCTCATCCAGATGCCCTCAAGGACCAGGCAGTTAATATGAATCAGTGTGAAGTCCCTGAGTAAAGGACTGTATTGAAAGCAGTGTTTTGGGGCCGGGGAGATGGCTCAGTAGAATAAGCGCTTGCCTGGCAAGTGCAAGGGTCTTAGTTCAATCCCCAGTTCCACAAAAAAAAAAAAAACAATGTTTCATTCCCTGCTTAAAAAAAAAACACTTAAAATCTTTTCTTTTTTTTTGGTCTTGGTCTGATAAGATAGTGGTAAATCAGTTTGTGATTCTCTGCCTTCATCTCCTAAGGTATTTCTTTTTGATACCAAAGCAGTCTTGTAAACTGTCTAAGAATGAGAATTAATGATATACTGAAGGGCTGGCCAAATAACTCAGCGGATTGAAGTGTTTGCAAGCAGGTGCAGGGGCCAGGGGTTTGATTCCTAGGCCTGCAATGCCACCCCCGCCCTGGGGGCACGCTGAGAAGGCATTTGAGAATGAGTGTGGTGTAATCCCAGCACTTGGTAATCTGTAAACAGACGGATCACTGAGTCCAATCTAGTAGTGAGACCCTGAACACCCTGTAGGCCCTTCCCTAAAATACAAAAAATAATAATGATGATGATGTTACTGGAGAAAAAGCCAGTACACCATGAAGCAGTACAAGTTAAGAGTTGTTTAAGCTTTCAAGGTGTATGTGTGTTTGTTTGTTTGTTTGTTTGTTTGTTTGTTTTTGGCAGTGTTTCACTGTATAATCCAGGCAGGCTTTGAACTCACTATGTAGCCCAGCCTGGCCTCAAACTCAAGGTGACCCTCCTACTTTGGCCTCCCAAGTACAAGAATTAGAGGTGTGCACTACCCTGTGTGGCCGGGTAGTGCCTGTAAGTACGACTTTAGCCCTTCTCTCCTGTGTACTGCATACCATCAATTTTCCCAGATCTTATTTTCCTACTTATTTTCTCTTCTGCTTTTCTACTTTTTTCTCATTTGGGTTTGATTGTGCCATGTTGCCTTGCTGTTTTTCTGTGGGTCTTCCCCTTCACAACTGTACTTCTGTAAAAAGGTAATAGTGGTAATGATAATCCTGTTACTATTTAACGCTTCCATAGCACTGTTATATTGCCATCCTTAAAGCTTAATACTATTAATGCCATTTTGCAGATGAAAGAGTCAGAGCCAGGTGTGGTGATATATGCCTAGAAGCCCAGTGTTCTGGGAGACTGAGGCAAAGAAATCACTGCAGACCACCTGGCCTCTGCTTCCATTGCTCATGGTGCTGTTTTCAAAGTCAACAGTGATCTTCTGTTGCTAATTCCTATGGATCCTTTTTTTTTTTTTTTTTTTTTTGTTCCTCGAATGCCTTCAGGGCACTTTTGGCCAGCTGGAGAGGTGTGAGGTTCGAACTCCAGCAACCTGAGGCTGACAGCTTTGTGGAAGCAGCCACCTAAAGGCCTGAGCTAGGGCCAGGCCCCCCTATGGATCCTTTTAATCTTTTTTTTTCTAGTACCTTTGAACTCAGGATCTTGCACTTGCCAGGCAAGCGCTTATTCTACTGAGCTATCTCCCCGGCCCAGTCTTTTTTTTTTTTTTTTCTTAACACAATTATCTTACATCTTCAGCCATTCATCATCTTTTTTTGGTTTATTATTGGAGTATCCAATAATTTAAGCTTGGCATGGTGGTATATACCTATAATCCACTGCACTGAAAGGCTGAGGCAAAAGGATCACAAGTTTAAGTCCAACTTAGGCAACTTGGTGACTTTGCAAGATTTTGTCTCTGATTTAAAGGGGAAGGGTAGTTCAGAGCAAGGTCCTGAATTCAGTCCACAGTTCTGGGGGGTGGTCAGTAATTTGTTAAGTGACAACCATATTGCTGAATGTTCATGTTTCATGCGTATCATGGTCAGAAGTTACGCTGCTGTGGGCATATTTGCATGAAATGTTCTTTACTTGTTTCCTTTGACTACATTTCCAGTTAAAAACCAATGTGAAAAGAGGAATCAAAATATACCATATATAGGTACAAATTCATTATGATGAATATGATCATTATGTATATCTAAAATGTACCAATAAGCTTATTTTTTAAAAAATCACATGTTGAGGAGCTAGCTCAGTGCTAGAGCATTTGCCTAGCATCCATAAGATCATGGATTTTATCGCCAAGACCATTAAAAAAAATTAATATAAAGATGCTTCAGATTTTGGATTGTTTGTAGCAGCAGAAGTTAATATAGAGTATTTCAAATCAGGTTGCTGTAGTTTTTTCCCCTCCATAAAAGACGTGCTGGACAGATATGAGAGTTTATTAGAATTTAGTCTCCTCCTATCTAAAAATAGCCTGTTACATGCTTAGGGGAGAGTAATTGCCCTTCAACCTAGAAACTCCTAATTATCCTCAGGCTTTACAACTTTTGTAAACAGACAAAAGATAGTTATTGGGGATTGAACTCAGGACCCTGCACTTGCCAGGCAGGTGCTTATTCTACTGAGCTATCTCCCGGTCTCTCTCCCCCTCCCCCCAGCTTCCTTTTTAATCAGAAACAGACTCAGGGAGTGTCAAACCTGAATGAGACCTTAAATGCTTGGTCCATCCCTGTTTTATAGGTGACTAAGGTGAGGCCCTAAAAGGTTAACTGATGTGACTCAGTTTGCATTGTCAGTCAGTGGTAGAACCAGGATCAGGGAGGGCCCTATCTTCCCAGCCTGATAATCTCTGTACTCTGACTTGTTGCCTCTAGTCAATCAGTAGGTAACCTTGAAGGTGCTCACCATTCTTGAGCACTTGCTTGTGCCTCAAAGAGGCCTCCATTTGTGCCTCAAAGAGCCTAGTTCTCAGGCTGGAGGTATAGCTCAGCAATAGAGTACTTGTTTAGCATGCACAAGGCCTGCTTTGATCCCCAGCACCAAGCTATAAATAAATAAAAACTTAGTTCTTGTTTGCTTCTCAAATAGCACTGCCTGTTTTTCAAACAAAAATAGTGAATGGGAGCCCCTTTTGTGAGCATATATGACGTTCTTGCCAGTCTCTGGGGACTTTCTTCCTGGTGTTATAGGAAGTCAGAGGAAAATGAAACAAAAGAATTCTGCTTGAGGGTTTGAAGGTCTGACTGGCAGTCTTTTGGTGTTTTGTGTAATCCTGAGCTCTAGGTAAGGTGGGAGTTTAGTTGGTAGGTTTTTGTTATGTATTGGTTAAAGGGATAAAATAGATGCTTTGGTTTACTACTCTGGTCTGATCTCTTCAGTTGTCTAAGCCAGAAAAATCTTTTCCAGAATGCAAATCTACCCAACTAATTCCCCTACTCTGAATCTTTTTATGACTTCACAGTTAGAGATAAAGTCAAAGGCAGGCGTGTATAACCTCTGTGGGTGGTCTCTACTATATACTTCTCAAGCATGATCTGCTGCCTTCTCTGTGCCTAAGTCCCTAAAATCTAGTAATTTTGTCATGTCTTGCTTTCACATATCACCTTTGCCTACAAGTCTGGTTCTACTTTGTCTAAATAAAAGCGTATTTCCTTCTCCTTCCCTGCTTCTACAGGTGCTTTGCTCTCTGTGCTTCCCTCTCACTCTTATTCCTGTTCCACAGGAGAGCTAATCCTGTCTTCACTGCTCACCCTGGTGTAGGCGTCTCAGCACTTGTTTACATGTGTTTCTTTGATGGACTGAATGCTCCTTGATAGCAGGAACTCTGTCTTTTGATCTCTGACAGTGCCAGCCTCTACTAATCAACTGCCCAAATGTTCATTGAACAGCTGATTGGAACGTTTGCAAAATGTTTTGCTTAAATTACTGTTGTCACTTCTTCTGTGGCAAATTCCGGATACTCTTTGGCCCTGCACAAAGAAGGGATGCAGGCCTCTAGGAGAAAAGTCTAGAAATAGCACACAAGTGCTGAGATTGATGGCAAAGTAGAGTCTGTCCTACTTGTTACTAAGCTGTATATTTCAGTGGTGCCTTCTCTGAAGAAAAGGGAAAAGAGCTTGAACAAAGTGTCAGCTGTCTCAGACTATCTTGATTAATGAGTTGGTAAATGTCCCAACCCTTCTAAAAATGATCATTTTAGTGTGTGGATACCTCACATTTTTGGGTAAGGAAAAGTGCCTTACTTTAGGAGATAGCAAAAATTTTATTACATACAAAAGTTACATGTTTCATTACATGAAAAATTACATGCCGTATTAAATAAAATTTGGGGAAAAGTTTGTGTACAAGTGACCTTCACAGAATTGCTTTTCTTTTTCCATGTGACATCCACAGTTTCAGTTGATGTTGATCTTATATAGTTACGGTATATAGGTACTGTTTTGTGTTTTCCTTCTTAGCTTAATAGTTTATTATATAAGTTTTTATGTTTAGGCTTCAAAGTTATTTTTAGGAACTGCTTAATAATAGCTGCCAGTTTTTGAAGGTATGCTATGTGCCAGGCATATGCAAAGCATTCTTATTATCCTTGTAACAGCCATGAAAAGTAGATATTGGTATTTCTGTCTTCCTGGACAGGGTCACAAAGGATTGGCAGCCCAGTAACACATAAGTCTTATACATCCTGATCTTAAACCTCCTCTTTTCTTCCTTTCCTCCTCTCCTTCCCTACTTCAGGTGCTTTGCTCTCTGGGAATGTTTCCCTTTCTTATCCCTGTTCCACAGGAGAGCTGATCCCGTCTTCACTACCCACCCTGCTGTATGCTTCTCAGTACTTGTTTACATGTGTTTCCTTGCTGGACTGAATGAATGTTCCTTGACAGCAGGGACTCTGTCTTTTTTAATCTCCGACAGTGCCAGCCTCTAATCAACTGCCCAAATGTTCATTGAGCAGCTGATTGGAACATTTGCAAAATGTTTTGCTTAAATTATTATTGTAGTCACTCTGGCAAATTCCAAATACTGCAAAAAATCTTGGCCAGGTGTAGTGGTACACGCCTGCTCCTGAGGCAGGAAGTTTGCCATGAGTTCAAGACTGGCCTGATGTATGTAGTGAGTTCAAGACCAAATGAATGAATGAAAAGTCTTATGCATCAAAAGTTTTCATGTTGAAGTTACAGAATTTTAAATGTAAATAATTGTAATGACTTTTCAAATTACATGTTTATTAATGTATTCTAATAATTTCTTTGTAGTGGCTAAGAATTACTGTTCAAGCTTGGAACGGGTGGTTTGAGACAGGGTCTTGCTAGGTAGTCCGGACTTGATTTGAACTCGTCCTGGATGGTCTCAAGCCGGAAGCAATCCTCCATTTCATCTCTGCTTAAATTTATTATTTTGAGATGAGGTCTTGCTAGCTCACTGAGTTACCCAAACTTGGCAGTCCCCTTGCCTTACCTCCTTAGGGTGCTGGGATCATAGGCGTATATCACCATGCTGAATTATTTTTTATTAGATTTCGTCTTAATATTTGATAATTAATTTATATTTTTCCAGTTAAATGTAGTAACTTTGCCTCCCTCTTTAGAGAGACAAAAGTTTTTTCTGCATAACAGAAATCCTGTATTTTGTACTGAAGTAATATTTGATCCAGAACCAGGTTTTATGTTGTTTTTTTGTTTTTGTGGCCAGCTCGGCTCACCCTGGGGGCAGGGCTAGTGCAACATATGGTACCAGCAATCCAACCACAGTCCTTACTCTTGCCTAAGCAGGCGCTTTAGACCACTGAGCTGTCTCACCAGCCCCAGAGACAGATTTAAGGAGAGAATCCATTTCTCTAGGCAGTTGATTCCTGAGTAATTCTATTTCCCTGCTATATCTCAGTTTGATTTCTGAGAGCATTATTTTGTTTTTGCAGGTCTGGGACCTACGCCAGAACAAGCTAACCTATACCATGAGAGGCCATGCAGATTCAGTTACTGGTCTGAGTTTAAGTTCTGAAGGTTCTTACCTCTTGTCCAATGCAATGGATAATACAGGTAACTTTGGAGAGGAATACACTTCCAAGATCCATTTTCTGTGGACACTTAAGAAAAGTGTTAAAAATTGAGGGGAGGGCCAGGGAGATGGCTCAGTGGAATAAGTGCTTCCCTGGCAAGCGCAAGGGACTAAGTTCAATTCCCAGTTCCACCAAAAAAAAATTAAATAAATGAATAAATAAATAAAAATTGAGGGGAGAGGGCCTGTGGTGTGTTTGAGCAGTAGAAATGTAGCATGTACAATGCCCTGGATTTGATCCACAGCGCCACAAAAACAAGGAAGAAAATGTGTAATGAGATAAATGAGAGTCCAAGAGTTGAGTATGAGCCACAGAGTATTCCAGGCAGTTGGGAGAAATGACATAAGGAAAAAAGCTTTAGAGATGATCCAAAATCCAGTATTCTAGTGCCATATATACCTTAAACAACCTTATACATAGCCTGTGGACATCAATTTCTATGTGGTTGGGGCTGGTGAGATGGCTCAGTGGTCTAAAGCACCTACTTGGAACAAGCTTAGCAGAGCACAGGGACCGCGGTTCAATCCCCCAGCACCACATGCCAGCCAGCCCCGCCCCTGGTGGGCTGAGCTGGACACACACACACACACACACACAGAATAAATGTAAAAAATTAAAAAATAAAAAATAAAATAAAACAATTTCTATGTGGTTAAAAATTAGAGGTTATTTACATTAGGCTAAATGCTGTAGTATGCAGTGAATGCAAGATATAACTGGTTAGATTAATGAGAAATTTGAGTCCTGTGGTCCATCAAAGGCAGTTTTCCAGTGTTTGCCGAGAGCACCGTATGTGGGTGATGAGTAGACCAGTATGCTGTCTTCTGATGTGTGTCTTCCTTCCCCACATGTAAAGCATTGATGTGAAAAGAAGTCCTCATTAAAATACCAGCACTCTTTGGGTTTGGGTCATAGCTCAGTGGCTAAGTGTTTCTCTATCATGCATGAAGCCCTCGCGTGAAGCCCTCGGCCCAATTCCAAAACAAAACAAAACAACATTATGGATTTACACAAACATATGCTCTTTTGTTTTTTGAGTTGCAGGGTGGGAATGTCAATTTACTAAAGAAGAGAAAAAAGTAATTTGTGGGATTATATTGCTTAATATTGGGGGAGGCTAGAAATGCCCCTGGTATAAAATTTACAAGCTTATCAGGAACAAAACTGTGCTGACACCTTGTAACAAAAACAGTACCTGGAATTCAGTGGATACTCAGTAAATACTTGTTTTTTGGGGTTTTTTTATTATATTTATGTATGTATGTGTGTGTGTGTGTGGGTGGGTGGGTGGGTGGCCAGCTCAGCCCACCAGGGGGCGGGACTGTCTGGCATGTGGTGCTGGGGGATTGAACTGTGGTCCCTGTGCTTTGCTAAGCTTGTTCTAAGTAGGTGCTTTAGACCACTGAGCCATCTCACCAGCCCAATACTTGTTGAATAATTGAACATCTTTACTTTCCCGAGTATATTCACCTCTCAGTAGCAAACTGTCATGCACGGCTTTGCCTTTTTTTTTTTTTTTTTTTTTTTTGAGACAGAGTCTTGCTGTGCAGTTCAGGCTGGCCTTGAACTAACTTTGTAGCCCAGGCTGGTGTCAAACTCATGACAATCCTCCTGCGTCAGCCTCCCAAGCACTGGGATTACATTTATGCACCATCACACCCAGCAGCTTTGCCTTTTTATAATTGTCTAACTCTTAACTGTTGGTATTACTTTTTCACACTCAAATAAAATGACATTTCTCAAATTTCTCTGTAGGATTAGTTTCAGTTAAAGTAACTTTAGCTGTTGCTTACAGTAGATGTGTATATGCATATCTTGATGTCAGTGGATTTACCATTGACTACTTCTAGCATCCTTTGTAATAAAGAACAGTAGGAAAAAAAAAAAAAAGAACAGTAGGGTTCCCAAAATGGTTATTAGAATGATGATAAAAATGTTTTGGTTGGGCCAGCCAGATAGCTCAGTAAATTAAAGCACCTACCTGCTTAGGCAGATGTAATGACAGAGTTTGATCCCCACCATGCCATGCTGTGAGACAGCCATTGAGACTGGGTGTGGTGGTGCATGCCTGTAATTGGGAGCCTGAAAACAGGAGGATCACTACGGGTCCGATCTACATAGTGAGAGCCTGTAGATCTTGTCCTAAATACAGGGGGGTGGGGGGGGGGTGGAGAGGAACCTTTTCATACATATCATCTCATTTGATCCTCAAAATAGATGTTTTAAAAGTAACATCGGTGTTTTGTTTTTGAGACAAGGTCTAGCTATGTAGTTCAGACTCTCCTTGAACTTAACTATGCAGAACAGGAGACCAAGACAACTTCACTATTTACCTAACGTTACTTATTTAGAGAGAGAGAAAATTAGATTCAGGATCACATTTTCTAGAGCTGAGGATGTAGCTCAATGGAGCAACACTTGCCTAGCATGCACAAGATGTTTGGTTATATCCCTAGCACATACAAGAACAGAAGGAAATTGTTCAGATGTTTGGATTCTTGGTACAGTATTCTTTTGCTGTATTGGTCTTGCAGAGCTTTAGACTGAAGGGCCGATATGAGAATAATTAGGTAAGGTTAATTTTAAGTTTGGTTCTTACAAATTCATTACTGTAATTGCTATAGATGGTATTTAGGTTGTCATAATGGGGGCTGGGGAGATAGCTCAGTAGAATAACTGCTTTCCTGGCAAGTGCAAGGTCTTGAGTTCAATCCTTGGTACCACAAAAAAAAAAAAGATTGTTATTAATGAAGCTTTGCTGAATAGGACTCTTGGCAGAAGAATGATTCTCAGAATGCCTTTGGAATTAGTATCATACCAACAGGACATGGTAGCACACACTTGTAATCCCAGCATTTGGGAGGCTGAGGCAAGAGGATTGCTACAAATTCAAGGCCAGACTGAACTACATAATCAGACCCTGTCTTAAAGAAAAAGAAATTAGGGGGCCAGGGAGATAGCCCAATGGAATAAGCACTTCCCTGGCAAGTGCAAGGGCCTGAGTTCAATCCCCAGTTCTGCCAAAGGAAAAAAAAAAAAAAAAAGGAAATAGAAATTAGTGTCATACCTTTCTGCATTCTGTTGTAGATTCCCACCAATGTATTTGCTTTTTTCTTTCCCACCCTCAGCTTTCCTCTCTGTCTTAGTTCTAGTTAATAGTGTTTTAATATATTTTACTTCCACTAGAAGAAGAAATGTTTGTGACAGGTACCAACAGTGGTGGCACACACCTCTAATCCCAACACTTGGGAAGCTGAAGCAGGAGAATCACCATGAGTTCAAGGCTAACTTGGGCAATAAAATGAGTTCCCGGGAAGCCTGCACTACAAAGCTAGACCTTATCTCAAAAAAAAAAAAAAAAAAAAAGCAAAAGATTTTGATAAGTAGTAATATGTCATGTTGGACCTTCTGTACCTGGGAAATAGCATTTGTCAGTGATATTATACTAGATTCAGCCTGGTTCTCAGGAGGCCTCTGACTGATAGTTTGCTTGTTGATTGGTTTGGATTTGTTTTGCAGTACGTGTCTGGGATGTCCGACCATTTGCTCCTAAAGAGAGATGTGTGAAGATATTTCAAGGAAATGTGCACAACTTTGAAAAGGTGAGTGCTCTGTGACAGAACGACTTTACTGTCCATTTGATTGAAAGAAAAATAAGTGTGGTTTTGATAAAAATGGGTCACATTCTACTAACTGTTCTTATCAAAATGGTTCTTATGGGAAATAAAATAGGTGTATCAGAGGAGACAGTCTTATAACCAGATGGTGACGAGGCCAGCCCAGGAACTGAAGAACTTCAGACACCACCATACCCAAACCAGGATACTCCTAGTCTTTTATTCCACCCTCTTAGATTAGTGTTCATATAGGACTCAGATCCTTTTAGCTATTACCCAAATGATCTCTGTCATCTTCCCAGTTCTCATTTATTAGAACCTGACTGTACACCCCTCTCTTCTGTAAGCACCATGGTCCAGGTTTTTAGAGAGGGAATTTTTCTCATGCCTTCCAGTTGCCAGGTTAGCTCTGTTGGAACAGCTTTTCCCCTCAAAAATCTGTTAATAGGGGTTGGGGTGATAGCTCAGTGGAACAAGTGCTTGCTTGGCAAGCGCAAGTACATGAGTTCAATCCCTGATACCACCAAAAAAAAATCTGTTAATAGAGAATTAATACTTTTGAGGACTCATTAACATTGTTTCACTTTTATAAGTCTTTATTTATTTTTTTTGTATTTAGTATAGGATTTATAGGGTCTCACTATGTAGATTGGACTCTTTCTTAGTGATCCACCTGTGTTCAGCCTCCTAAGCACTGGGATTACAGGGGCATGTCACCACCTCAGGGTGCCCCAGGGGCAGGGCCGGCACAGCACACTGGTGATTGAACCCCAGTCCCAGTGCTGTCTGCCTCAGCAGGCGCTTTAATCCGCTGAGCTATTTGCCTGGCCCTTATAAGTCTTTTTTTTTTAAATTGAGTTTGATTTTATTTTTACTTCAAGACAGAGAATGAGGGCCAGCCAGATGGCTGAGTGGACTAAAGCGCCTGCTTAGGCAGAGCATAGTGGCTGGGGTTCAGTCCCCAGCATGTTGTGCTGGCCCCACCCCTGGGGCACGCTGAGATGGCGATTGAGACTGGGCGTGGTGGCACACCCCTGTAATCCCAGTGCTTGGGAGGCTGAACACGGGAGAATCACTATAAGTCCAGTTTACATAGTGAGACCCTATAGACCCTGCCCTACTAAATACATTTAAAAAAAAAGACAATGAAGGGGGCTGGAGAGATGG